CGGCGAAGTTGGCGAGGCTGGTTGGAATGGGAAATCTGGCAAAGCAGAATATCAAGGCGGTTCCGGTAGTGCCCGATCAGGTGTAAGAGGGAATGTGAGGGGCGGACGATCAAGTGAATCTTGGGAATCAGACGACTCAGAAAGTTGTTCCGGCGAAGTTGGCGAGGCTGGTTGGAATGGAAAATCTGGCAAAGCAGAATATCAAGGCGGTTCCGGTAGTGCCCGATCAGGTGTAAGAGGGAATGTGAGGGGCGGACGATCCAGTGAATCTTGGGAATCGGATTACTCTAGAAGTAGTTCCGGCGAAGGTGACATAGGTGGCGATAGCATGAAATCAGGTGAAAGTGAAGAGCGAAGACGTTCATATGGTTCTGAAGTCGGTGGCAGAAAGGGTAAAATAATTCCAAGAACAACTGCATCACCTGAAATACAAGGTTAGTTTATGTTTCGTCGCTGTGTTTAGTGAGATGCTTTGCTGGTTGAAGTAATGAAAGATACTAAGGAATTATTTTTGGGGATGCCGAATGATATTGCTTTGAAATGCTCTGGAAATCGAAAAGGCTGGTAGGCCCCTCAGCGATCTACCATGCAGGATTTCAGATTGGATTCTATGTATAATATGTAAGTATGAGATGAGCAAGGTGTTATGTTTGATAGAGCTGTATGTTTAAAAGATTGCTTTCGTTTTCGATTAATTGTCACTTGGTTCTTTATTTTGTGTTTGAATCATTTTTCTCACTTTTTCTTAAATCGAAGATGGTTTATATGGTGCACAATCACGACCACTGAGTAGTCGATCCGACGTTGCTACTGTGGGAGAAGCAATAAATCAACCTTCATCAAGTAATGAAGGCAACGCAGTCGGGGCAGTTGTAGCTAAAGGTGAAATAAATAAAAAGGAGAACAATATTCTCACTGAAAAATTGAAGACAAGAATTGGTCAATCAGAAGGTAAAATAATTACTAAAATACTAGGCATTTGTAAAGCAATTGTCTTAGGCCAATCATATATAGTTACTGGCGAAGAATCTAACAGAATACGTGATTTAACAATAAATTCGATTCCTATGGATTATGACACTAGAAATGTTGCTTCAGGTTATAGTCGTTTACTTTATAATCTTGGTCACGGACGTCAATTTAGACAACCATCAATACCAAAGAAACCACACACGCATAACTGTGCTCCACAAGATATCTACGTTAGCTATGTCTACGAATATGATATGCATAATCAAGTATTTAATTCCTCGTTTCAAGATCCTGATTCAATCGTAATTAAAACTCTTCAATCAGACGTTGCTCGCTTCGCAGCTGAAGAACTTTACAAACGTAATTTAGTTCCGTATGTTACAGATGAAGCTCATTTAACTAAAATAATGGATGTTAGCAAACAATATAATGATCAGGCTACACTTCGTTTTTATATTTCCATTGATGTGAGTAAAAGCTTAATACCCGTTATTCGTCATGTATTACAAACAGTGTTGACAAAATTAAAAAATGAACGTTTTGCAACATCAAATAAAAAAATTGACTGGGGAGAAATGGTGCTTATTCCGATAACAAAATAAGCAAGATATCCAAACAAATAAACTTATTTTGCCTTTTTTTCTTTTACTTTTAAAGTCTTATTTAATTAAAAAGAAAAAATTTACTGAACGGATCATGCCATAATAAAAAAAGTTATATCTATTTTTCCCTGGTTCAATAAATTGAATCCATTTCTCTCTCTCTCTTTCAATTTGACATGTGTTTGTGTTTGGCATACATAAATGACACTACATGTACATATAAAAAAAAAGTTACGAGAATGAGAATGATATCTTTATTTACTTCTGACAAGCACCTAGAAATGCTTCCGCGTTCAGAACTTTGATAAGAAAATAAAAGATAAAAAAAAAAGTAGGCATTGACAGTTCTTATATATAACTACATAAATCCTACTATAAAATATAGATCCAAGATAGAAAAACAGATTAAGTAATTACATCTTCGACTACGAAATCCACATGATACAAATATTCATATTCGATTTGATTTTTTTAATGAATTATGTGATAAGCAGATCTCACTCATTCGCATCAGTAATAGATAAACCAGTTTTTCACTGTAATGATTACCATTCATACCCATACAGCTTATTTCCAATTCAAATTCCTACTGATGAACGCCATGCAAATAGGCCATCTATAATATCTAGTTGCAAGGACAATAAACATGTATTTGATAAATTATCTATCAATTGTTCACTAAAATCATGTCCTGGTTATATCTGTTGTCAAGATAAACGGAACAGTAAGGAAGCAATTTTTTATTTTTTTATCTTATTCTGTTTTTATTTCGTCAGCAATACACATAAAAGTTGTATATAGTGCGAATAAAGATTCTGCGAAAATAACTGAAGATACGATTAATCCAAACGGCGAATTGCAGTGTGGCCCATCAAAACAACATGAATATTATATTTTAACTCTAAGAATAAATCTTAAAACAAAAAAGTTCAATTTAACGTGTACGACTGGATTTAATCTTATTGAACCAAATGATTCTGACAAGTATCCATTAAGTAAAACAAGTTTATTCGGCATTATAGTTCTTGCAGCGTGCACTGCTTTTGCATTGTTTCTTTGCATTGGTTGGTTTATTTTTACATATTATCGTCAATATAAACGACGGCAGATTAAAATTAAACTTCAAAAAGCTCTTGCAAATTCAGTTCAACAAATACTCGATAAAACACCTATTGTTACGTTTATATCAACTAATAAAACTAAAAATTCTAATAGTGAAGATCCAATGTGTGCTATTTGCTTGGAATCATTTATTGATAATGAAAAAACTCGAAAACTTAGTAAGACACAGCACATATGCTGTAACTAAAAGTGATTTTCTTTTGTCTTTCTCTTCAAAGTATGTTCGCATTATTTCCATACTGGATGTATTGATCCTTGGTTGTTATCCAATCAAAATTGTCCATTATGTAATCGAAATATTTTAAATGATTATGTTCCTTCAATATCAGATACTATTAAATCGAATCGTAGAGAAACTCTCAATCAACAATCAAGATCTACAAATACTGTGAATAACAGACAAAGTAACCCTATCATTGTCAATGAAGTTTTAAATTCATAAAAATAAAAACAAATATTTTGCTTTTAAATTACGCCTATGCCACAGTTTGTTCATGTTAATGTTTGACAAATAGCTGCTTGAATGTGTTAAAAGAGTAATTTTATTTATTAATTCAATAAATAAATATCATAAAATATTTGATGTTGATAATGAATAGTGATATGTGCATGACTGACTGTTTTTAATCCAAGCGGGTACAATAAATTTTTTGGCATATGTGTACTTGTAAAAAGTTCATTACTGGAAATATTTTGAATAAATGCAAATAATCATGGACGTGGTGATAAACCTATTGCCCTGATTTATAGATAAATATTAGCATTTCTCAACGAATAGAATATTACTCTTTTTGTATTCACAGACTCGATTGGAACTGAAAATTTTACGTGAACCATATTTTTCCACAAAATACAACAGTAAATGAAATGTTTATCAAACAAATTATTAAACTCAATGGAGGATTTCTTTTGATTACGAAAGAATCATAAATTATTTCAAAAGAAATTAGATCTTTAGTTTTAGTAAAATATTTTAGCAACATTTTTATATTGAAAGAGGTTACTTTTTGGATTGTCGTCATTAGCGTAGCTACATGCAGTAGCAAAAGTAATATAAGAATTATTGTAAGTTCAATGTAATGATCGTTCAACTGTCCAAAGCAATCAGTACAAATACAGAATTTTAGCTTAGAGCAGAAATCTTCATTGAAATAGATATTATCAATTAGTTCAATAGCATTAGTTGGGAATATTTAAAGTTTGAAGTCGCGAAGATTTTGAATGTATTCTATTTTTGAAGAATTTTTTATTAAATCAGTATTCGATATGCGATAATTTCGAATTATTTTCTCATGAACTTGATAACTCTTAGTTTTCCCATGACTTGCGTGGTTTAGTTGTATAAAATACGGAACCAATAAAATGAGATTCTTTCACTTCGAATTCTCCGTAAAAGAAATGATAATAGAAACAATTTATTTTCCCAATGAGAACTGCCTGCAGAGATTTTCATATTTCATTTGGTTATTTTAGACAATATTTGAAATTTCTATGAATGCTGGCTGTGCAAATTTTGATAAAAAGTTGCTGCTTCAAAAGTATTTGTTTTTATAGCGATATACGAAACACCCGTAATAATATTGGTCACACTTAGCTTGATGTAAGTCAGAAATAAATGAAAAAACATCGGATTCGCATCCGATTGTTACGTGTACTGCAAAAACTGAGTCGATTTATATATGTTTTGAATAATTCTGAGAAAAAAATCCCTGTACCACCCCCCGCCCCCTCTCAGGGATGGTCTGGTCAATAATGACAATTTTTTCGATAACTCGACCATTTCTTGACGCATCCTTCTCATCTTCGAACTCGACTGAGATATTGATGAGATCATTCTGTGTACAAAATTTCAAGACAATTGGATGAGGTTTTCAAGATTTATCGTGTTAACGGCCGGACACACTGACTGAATCTAGAGTGTACTCACTTGTTGAGTACACAAAAAAGAGAGTACGATTAGTCACAGACAAAATAATAATCTTGCTACTTTATGTCTTGGCTTCGTTATTATTTCAAAACGTTAAATTGTTCGATATTATGGCATAATTTATTCCGTAAGGATTGGGAAGTGTCTTTTCAAAACTGCTTTTCTGCTATAACGAGTACTCTGAGTTCTCACTCTAGGAAGAGTCGATCAAGTAGTATACATATTAATACTACGATAATTTTATAGAATATAAATAGTCAGATCAATCAATAGTTTCGATGATTTATGAACCTATAATTATAGCGACTCATGCTTTGTTTTACTATAGAGCGACATCATCATTCATGGAAATCATTAAAAAAAAACATTTTTATCTATTTCGCCATTAATCTTTTTTGATATATGAAGCGTTTGAAAATAATATAATGAAAAATAATTATAAATGAACATAAAAGAAAAAGAAAATTCAACACAACTATTTTATCATGCTCATAATTCTGCAGTAAGTGTTCGATTAATATCTAACTAAATATTGAAAAGATTCAGAATATACGGCAAGTTTCCAGTTTGTTTTTTAATATTGATCTTTCAATACATTCTTGTGTCATATCAAACTTTTGATCTAAATAAACAATAAAGGTCATTACTTAAGTTCGTTTTTCGAAATTGTTTTAAAACAAACGAAGACCTTCGTTCTTAGAAAATAACTTTTTTTGTTTTGATTTTAAGAAATGCATAAAAACTTTCGGTGAAAATTGACTATATTGATGACTCTCTTATCTTCACATTTTTATTTGGCAAGAATTTCGCAATAAAATCAAATGAGTTCCAGAAAAATTCTAGACGAACTTGAGCATTCTATATTCACTTGAGATATTAATAATAATTGCCTTTACCTGATAGTATCTGAAAGAGTTTAACTAAGATATTTTTAAACGCTAGAAAAAACATGTGAGACAATGCTTTTCAAATGTTGACCACGATACCAAGTTTTACTCGATCAATATTTTATCATTAGCTGAACTTTTTAACATGAGAACGAAATCTTTAGAGAAGACGAAAATACCGTTGCTCAAGTATTTTCTATTCTCAAATGTATAGTTTTATAGTTAGTTGACATTTTGATAGTGAATTACATTTCAGAACATATATTATACATAGTCAATGATTACTTTCAATAGGTTAAAAAATCAAATTTGATGATTTCATTAAAAAAAACGTTTCATGTAGTTGTGATAATTGACTAACCGTGTGGTGTATACTGGCTATGATCAGTATTCATTCCATTTTGTGAATTGTTGACTATTAGAAATAAATAGAAAAATAAATGAATTTCTTCCTACGAAAAAGTAGAATTTAGAATTTAAAACGTACAATCGAAAATTTTTGAAAATTTAATTACTGGTGTTTTATGTTGATAATTCACACTTGTTTCAAATTCTTGAAAAAAACGAAAGTCTATGCGATGTGTATATTGAAGTTGAAAAATTTTACCAGAAAAAGTCGGTGTTACTGTAGTTGATGTTCTCAGTGAGACTACAACAAACTTTTGTTGCCGACTAAGATAATAACTAAGAGGATAGCGAGATTTAAGTAAATTATTAAGTAATGATTCTTGCATTATTTCAGTCAAGAAGAATAATGATATGATTTAACTAGAAATTTACATATGAGACAACTATAGAATTGCGCTACTATCGTTGTTTGTAAGAGAATACATCCTATTGGTAATCAAAATGATTAATCATACTCTTTGTTCTTCGTTCTTTTCCAATCGATAATCCACACAAGCAAGCAAATAGAATAAACCATATAATATCGATAGTGAAAAACACAAATTCTCATCAAATTTTGCACAATAATTTTTTTATAAAAATGATAGTATGAAGTTTTTGAAAATCATACAAACTCTACTGTTAGTAATAAATGGATTAGCAGTTTATTTAGTATTGTTGAACGTGTAATCTAATGCTACATTTTTCAACAAGGTAATTAATTTTGAATACTACCACAGATGAATCGTCAACTTCGAATAGATGATATACTTTTCTTGACGTTTGGTTAACTACCGATGCTTTACTACAGTAAGAAAAGGCATTTCGAACCCACAAAATTCGACAATCGCATACTTTAGATAGAAATAAAATCGTACGATCTGGTTGTAAGTTGACTTTATATCGATTAAAGTCAATGTTGTAATCATATAAAACATGTTCTAAAGTTCTCTTATTTCTATTGATTAACCAGTGTTCATGTTTTATTAATGAATATGGCAATATCACACTATCAAAAACCTCACTGATCTAGATGATTCAAATCAATCTTGAAAATATCTAAACACAATCGATCGTTCATTTGGTGCAAATCGCGTGCAGGTTTACGGCATTTTCCGTCGACACAACTAGTTTATCTACGTCGAGCTGCAGAGCGCGACGAGGAATCTTCTGATATAAAATTGTTTCTTTTATTTTACCATCTTTCGTAATTTGAATCAGACGTTTCTTTTGATGATCAACAACAAGACATTCATTACGAGTGAGGGAACAGAAAATAGCTTTTCAACGCGCTTTATACCAAGATCGAGCGTCTCTGCACTTCTCAAATCAACTCGCAGCAATTTATCCAATCTGTTTTCAACTACTAGAGCCAGATTCCCGTTGTTACAGACCACATCATCGATAGTTTCATCTGTGGTACACGAAACAGCCGGGGTCCATTCCTTAATTAATTGAATCGTGGGCGATAAAGTGAATTCCATGATCGATGGACCTCATTCGTCGGTGGGTGCATAGAGAATTGCGTTAGAACAGGTGCATGATAGCCACGTGCGTCCTTCAATTGTATAAACATTATCTATGGGCATTTTATCTTTGTCCAAAAGAAAGATGCTGTCGACACCAAGTATAATAAATTTGTTTAATGTTGACGACCAACACATTTCACGTATTTTGCCGTGAGTCCATTGGGTTTTTTTCACTAGACTCATTTCTCGATCATGAAAAGTTAAATCTGGATCGTGCTTTATCAAGAGGTATTGATCATTAGCAGCTAATGAAAGGTAGCTACCCTCTGGACGAATAATTTCATCGAACTCTTGCAATTGTTTTTCAAAGAACAAATCAATTTTCTCACGACAATGTTTATGCCATCGCTCAAGTTTTTCACGAGATGCGCCAATTATAGTCTCAATGCTTAGCGTATTGAAACGATCTTCAAGCACATTTATTTCAGCACACAACGAATTTAACTTGGATACGAGTACGTCATTATTTTCATTTAAATGTTTTAGACAAAGACTCTGCTGGCAACAATCACAAAGTGCACGTGATTTCAGAGTGCATTTCTCTATCGAGCATGGTTGAGACATTTGATGTAAATAATCAATGTGTGGTGTTCTAGAAACAGTTAAAATAGGAAGAAAGTATGAAATACCATGTCATTCATCAAACAACGTGTAGATTTACTACACACATGATGTAATATAGCAACACTTATCATTTGCGTCTTATTCTCACAGTCTCGAGCCAATAGGATTTCTATCCATCTTTTATTGTCGTTTATGTACAATGTTTTTACCATGTAAGCTAATACGGACTTGCATCAAATATGATATATGTGTAGTTTTAGAACAACATACCTCAAAACCACAATATGTTCGATGATATACCATTCCGTGAAGTGTTTAACCTGATACTCATTAATTCAGTTTCGGCATAAATAATGGATCAACTTCTATGATAATGACGTGAAGCTTCTTTTTAGAACAAGATCACCAATGTGAACACCAAAAGACAGTTATTGAGTAAATAATCGTTCCTCACAAACAAATTATTATAAATTAACATCAAGCCCTACAGCTTTTCAGAATCATATGCTGTTGATGGGATGGACATGGGCTAGTTATGATCTAACTTAACATCTCAAAACTGTTTCTTCAAAATATCGACTAGAGAATATGTTGTAGAAGATCTCAGAGACTTATTTGAACTCGTCCAAAATATGCAATTTATTTTGATTTTCATTTATCACCAAGTGTGGATATTTTATATACTGAATAAAACAAATATTACAAGTGACTGATCTCAATGATAAACTCGAACTTTAAAATACACACAACGAAAATAATTGTTTCTTTCATGCAATTGTGTGCACGTATACGGTATTCTCTGCAGATACAAGTAGTTTATTCATATCAAACAAAATAGCGCGACGAGGAACAGTATGGTATTGAATGCTTATCTTTAATTTTCCATCTCTTGAAATTTGAATTAGCTTTCCATTTTGATAGTCCACAACAAGCCATTCATTACAAGTGAGTGGAGAAAAACGGAAAACTAAATTTTGAACGCGCTTAATACGAAGATCCAATGTCCAAATGCAATCGAGCGTCTCAACGTATCTCAGTTCAATACGCAATGATTGATCGGATCTGTTCCCAACTAACACAGCCAGATTTTCGTTTTTGTGAGCCATGTCATAGATAATTTCATCTTTAGTACACGTAATGGGATGTTTCCATTCCTTAATAAATTCAATCGAAGGCGATAAAGTGAATTCCATTATCGATGCACCACTTTCATGTGTACTTGCGTAGAAGACTCTGTCAGAACAAGTGCATGATAGCCACGTGCGTCCTTCAATTGTATAAACATTATCGATGGACATTGTATCTTCGTCCAAAAGAAAGATGCTGTTTACACCAAGTATGATAAATTTTTGTATTGCTTTCGACCAGCACATCTCCCAAAATTCGCCATGAGACCATAGTGTTTGTTTGACTAGATTCATTTCTAAATCATAAAAACATAAATTTGGATCCTGATGTATCAATAAGTGTTGATCATTAGCAGCCAATGATATAAAACTTTTTTCTGGACGATTAATTGTTTTGTAAGCCGGAGAAAGTGTTGACAGGTCAAGTTCATGCTTAGCCATTTTCTTTATCAAAACGAATGTATCCTCGATTAATAATGGGCGAGTATCGATCTTGCAGTACGTTTTTTCAATGTACTCCATATTTGTTTTTAGTTGACGAATAGTTGATGTAAATAAATCGATTTCTTGACGAGTGGTTTCTTGTGCATTCATGAGTTCATTTATTTTGATATGAATTTGATTGAGTTCTTGCCGTTGTTGGTCGACCTCTTGTTGAATAATTTCATTGAGCATTTGAGACTTTTTCTCAAAAAAAGAATCAATCTTCTCATAACAATCTTTTCTCCATCGCTCAAGTTTTTCACGAGATGCACAAATTAGTGTTTCCATATTTAGTGTTTTGAGACGATCTTCAAGTTCATTAACTTCATCAACCAAAGGATTTAGCTTAGATAAGAGTAAAGTATTATGCTCATTTAAATGTTGTAGACACAGATTTTGCTCACAACAATCACAAAGTCCACGTGATTTGCGAGTGCATTTCTCTATCGGGCATGATTGAGACATTTCATACAAATAGTAAAAATCTGTGCGTTCTAGAAATAGTTATTTTAACAAGAAAAAATACAATCACATGTATGCCCCATACAATGCGAACCTATTCTAGCAATTTCCAACCAATACGGTTTTAATCCATGTTTTATTCTCATGCATCCAGAATCTATTAATATACGACTGATCATTAACGAAATCTATAGAACCACGTATGTTCATTGAATTCAATTAAATGTGGAATACGTGTAGTTTAAGAACAACACACCCCAATTACAATTATTTTTTTGTAACTGAATATGTCTGCATAGTTGTGAAGAAGACGTAGAGCAAATGTAATTTTCCAGTGCTAATTCCGAACCAATTTCGGTAATGTCTTACAACATTAATTTTGAATTTAACCCAAAAGAGAAATGTCTAAAGTAGACATGAGCCTGCACGCGTGATTGTCAGAATGGTGGAAATTTTTATTATCGAGCACATTCAGGAACATCTAATATAACTTTATATCTAAAACGTTTTCCTCCGATTAACGACTAAAAATATATTGTAATGATTCAAAGCAAGGTCTTTATAGTTCTTATTTCGGATTTATACCATAACATGTAAATATTTTCTATTTTTATTGGTCAACTAGTATAAATAAATGAGCAGTGAACAAGACAAACTAGAAGTAATACAAGTTAACTGATCTGGTTTATCAAAGCCACCTGTAAAATACCCAAGTGTAGGAGATCGTTCTTTTTTCATGAAATTTTTTATAGATGTATGACACTATCAGTTGGCACAACTAGTTTTTTCATGTCGACCACAATAGCATGCCGAGGAATCGTCTGATATTGAACGGTTTGTTTTATTTTACCGTCCTTTGTAATTTGAATTAGACGTCGATTCTGATAATCAACAGCAACCCATTCATTATGAGTGAGTGAAAAAAAATGAAACACTAAATTTTGAACGCGCGTAATACCAAAGTCAAGTGACCAAATGCGATCGAGCGTCTCCACACTTCTCAGTTCAATGCGCAGTGATTTATCAAGATTGAAGTCAACCAACAAAGCAAGATCTACATTTTTATGAAGCATATCATAGATAATTTCATCTTCAGTACATGAGACAGGATGTTTCCATTCCTTAATTAATTGCATCGTGGGGGATAAAGTGAATTTCATGATCGACGGGCCCCATTTATTTGTGGATGCATAGAGAAGTTGATTAGAACATGTACATGATAGCCACTTTCGACCTTTAATTGTATAAACATGATCGATGGACATTGAATGTTCGTCCAAAAGAAAGATGCTCTTTACACCAAGTATAATAAATTTCTCTATTCCATGCGACCAACACATATCCCACAATTCCTTGTCAATCCATTTATTTTGTTTCCCTTGATTCATATTTCTATCGTATAAACATAACTTTGGATCCTGATGCATCAATATGCGTTGATCACTGATAGTTAGTGAGATAAAAGTAGTTCCACGACGAGCAACTGTTTTATAAGAAGGAGAAAGTGTTAACAGGTCAAGCTCATTTTCAGTCAGTTTCTTTATGAAAACGAATGTATCACGAGCATCGATCTTACAGCATGTTTTTTCAATGGATTCCATATTCGTGTCGATTTGACGGATAGCTGATACCAATACATCGATTTCTTGGCGAGTTGTTTCTTCTGCATTTATAAATTCGGTCATCTTTAAATGTATTTGATTGAGTTTTTCTTGCAGTTGTTCGACTCCGTCATGAATAATTTTAACCAGCTTCTTAAACTTTTTTTTTTCAACAAACGAATATATCTTCTCATGACAGTCTTTAGGCCATCGCTCAAGCTTCTCACGAGATGTGTAAACTACTGTTTCAATATTCAGTATTTCGAGACGATCTTCAATTGGTTAATTTCATCAACTATTAAGGATGTAACTTAGACACGAGTAAAGGCATTATGTCCATGAAAATGTGGTAGACAAAGATTTTGCTCACAGCAATCAAAAAGTCCATGTGAAGCACGTGGACACTTCTTGATCGAGCATATTTGAGACATTTGATACAAATAATGAAACACGGATGTTCTAGAGAGTGTTGCAGAAGGGAAAATGAATGAAATCTTATATTATTTCAAACAAATAAAATATGTGTGTGTCAGGGCTGCCAAGTGTACCCCATTTTGCCATCTCGTACCCCCAAAAATATTGTATCTCTGGGATACACTTTTTTGTACCCCCATTTGGGTTTTTAAGCTTTTCATATCATAAACTAATTCTTGATATATATAAATTGTGTTTTACAATGAAGCGCATATGGTCACTATAGCGATATTTATAGTGAAAAATCAGCCAATAACTATTAGCATCTGTTTTATTCATCTGGTCTTGTTGTAGCTAGTCATGTTAAAAAACCTTGCTCCAACTGATTACAATATGTAGCATGTCTTGATTGGAAGTGTTGCATTGTTTTGTGGATTGTAGATCTTTTATTTAAATTACGACTTGATTGTCACAGTGTTCTATTGTGAAAAATACTCAATAAACTCGGAATCTAATAGAGAACAGTGTAAAATTATGTTGTTTTTTAAGAGAAAAGGTATTTCAGATAGTTTTTCCAAACGAATTCTTTCCATTTATAAAAAAATTGAGTACCCAACAATGTACTCCATTTAAAAAAAATTGTACCCCAACTGTACCTCATTTGAAAATCAGCACTCGGCAGCCCTAGTGTGTGCTGTAGAAATGAAAAGGATCTTTAGTTTATATTATCAATTTTTTTAAATCAATGACTCAAATCAAAAGTTTCAGCCGTGTCCAAATCTTTGTCGAACATTGAAAGGCTACGGAAGAAAAATATATTTCTTCTCTCCTTTTTGTATGTATTCAAATAATGAAGTTCAAACAAAAACGATAGATGTTTTAATACTACCGTGATTCAAATTCGTTCTACATATGAAATTATTATTATTTTAAGATATTTGTTCGGCTGATAAAATCGAAAGAGAAAGGATAATTAAACGAACATGATTGCTTTCTTTTAGTTCATTATTTTGCTATTGAAAATGACTTTTCGGGATGCTTGTTGGTTTCTTTTAAGTAAAACAATAGTGTTTCGTAATGTTATATTCCATAGAAAGAATATATTCATGTTCAACCCGATTGTCCGACGTCGACGCGAAGTGATCATTATTGTAACCGACCGGCTGAATATTTATCTAACTATGGATGACACATAACGGTCGAGTCTGCCAGTAAAATATGATTCAAATTAGTTCGATTCATTTTTCTTCATAGATTGCCTCACGTTACCAAAACGATAAATATCTTTCTTTCAATTTTTGTGAAACTATTCTGATTAACATTCAAATTATTTCTTTAGATTCAAAACAGAGGTAAACAATTTTCATCCAAATTTTTATAGCTGATATCGAAATATAGATTTACACCCACACCCGGCATACCTAAAACATAATAGATGGAATTTCTTGCATCAATAAATTTTTCAGAATGAAAATTTAAGCACTATAACCATCACTAAGTTATTCATCAGAAATAAAATAACTTCTAAGAGATAACAGCTTTTATATAAAAACAAAATACATATTTTTCGTTTTTTTTTGCATGAGAGAATTCATTGATATGAAATGAGTTCTGTAGCTCAGAGTGCCATTAACAATACAGTTCATTTGCAGAAGTATGATTGCGTTAGCATAAACTCTCATAGAAGGATACAATAAAAATAGAAAGTTTTTTTCTTGAGATTGAGTTCAAAATTAAAACAATCGATATGCGCAACTAAAAACAACTTATCCTTAATCGATCTGACGAATGATTTGTTAATGCCGTTTACTAATTGACTCTTTGATTTAATAATAAAATACATTCCGGCTATTGTATTTGTTTTGATCTAAGAACAAATTTTCGAACAAAAACAATGTTATTCTCATCTCTGCTCTTCGAAGTTTGAAAAAAAAAGTTTTAAAATCTTTTATCAACGTAATTAATGTATATTTTTACTTGTTAACGACCTTGCTCTCTGACTGTCACATTTTAGTTTATCCTTGAATATTCACTTTATATTCATCGGCGACAAATTGTGACACCTGGTTTACATTTATGCAAATAAATTCTCACGATTTTCCTCTTTTTATTCTCTCTCTCTCTCTCTCACACAAATGAGAACATTCAATTGATCCGTTTAACAATCTTTGATCTACATGTACGTATACTTTTTATTTATGTAAGACTTTTTTTGTTTGAACATCTTGTCTATCATTATCACGGTTGGGCAAATGCAACAATATTGTCTCTTATCTAAAAAGAAAAACGAACGGATCCATCACCTGTGTTCTATGAAAACAAAAGAATAAAGAGAAACAATATCTTTCTTGTTGAGAAAATTATATCGAATAGGTAGAGAATCCGTATATATGTGTCTATTTACTTTTTGTCTCTGGTGAATGAGCCAACCTTTGACCTTCTAATGTTGAAATTCATTTTTTTTTCTTGTAACCGCTTTCATTCTTAATTGTTTCAAACACGCACCAAAATGATGAATGTATATAACTGAAAACAGAACGAACAAGAAAAAGAGAATGTACACTACAGCCAGCCATGTTTGGCATTGGGTGTGTTGTATAGCTATGCATACATAGCTATTTATTTTGTAAGTCGTCTTATGAAAGAGAAAACGACAACTTTCTTCTTTCCGTATTTATAATTATTAGCATCTTCTTTCGACAAGCATTAAAAATCACCTGAGAATAGTAACTTTGCTTGTTCTAGTCATTACTATTACTCTTATCTGATTGTCTGATATCTGATTACTCCTTATGTTAAATCCGAGAATATGTACTATATGTAGACATTTGATTTAATACGTTCTAGATTGTTGCGTCATTCTTTCACACAGTCTACTGGCAACGTGTAACAATTAAGAAGAAGAAGAAGAAGAAGAAGAAAAAAGACAGCATGAGGTATGTTCATTGCTTCTCTATATGCGCGTTTTGTATAACAGTTTCATTTAAAAAAAGAAAACGACCGAAGAGATACGATAGCAAATAATCAACAACAATCGTAAAATATATATATATATATACATATATTATACTGGCTTTAGTTTGTCGACTTGAAAAATCACGTCAGGTAAGAGAAACACATATAAATAATAAACAGGCTTATACGTGCATTTTACTATTGAATAGTTATGAAATAAAGTCTAGCAGATTGCATGTCGGCTTAGCTTATGAAAAGAAGGTCATGTCTTTCTTTTCTGTTGTTAATTGAAAAGAGAAAGAAAAGAAGTAGCATTGAGCTACAGTAAAATTTAAAATATATACGATAACATTTCTTGTTTTAATACTTCGACAAGAAATAAAGCAACAAACAAACATTTTTGTGGTTAGTTATTTTACTTTTGAACAACTTTTATATCCTTCATGCCAATCGTATATTTGTATTCTCAAGGTTACACCTTTAGTGTGTTTTTCTTCATATTGTCCGTTTGTATGTTTAATTTGTTCGTCAAACAATTCAACTCCTATGTATCTTGTACGAAACATATTGACCTTTTCTTTATTCTTGCTTGTATATTCGCTAGAGAGAGAGAGAGAGAGAGAGAGCCAAAAGAATGAGATACGACCACTAGGCATATTCACTTGAGAGATTAGATGACGACTTTGTTTAATTGTTTTGTCATTGAAATACAATCTTTTGAGTCGCCTAGCCAGAATCAATGTTTAATTTGTCTTTTTTCCCTTTCGATATCATACAAGTTATGATTTAAAAGTAATTGTTTCATGTTTTTCGCTCTCTCTCTCTCTCTCTCTCTGTTATTAATTGTGGTTAAAGAAGGACAAATTGAGAAGTAAACTTTTTTTTCTTAATATTTAAAAATCATTGCAAAACATGACCTTGATTTAATATGTATGATATTTTTTTTTCTCTCGAGTGGATACTTGACTCTCTTTTTGTAACTGCCGTTTATTAAATCTATGAATAATCACGTAAGAAAAAGAATATTCATCGATTTATATTAAAGATGAAAAACTTCAAAGTGATCATATTTGACTATGCTTTTTTTCCGCACAAACATTTCAAATTGCATGACTAGGTGTTAACCGTGAGAAATTCATATCTAGGAGTACCATTAATTAATCTTCTAAGCTCTTTTCTGTCTTAATTCAAAATTAGCGAATGAGTGTGCATATAGATATTAGCCTTGAGGCTACAAGTCCTTTTTTGTTATCAAAATGAAAACGAGAAAACAACTTTCTATTTTTCTCGTGATCAATTTTAATCTGTTTAGACATGTTGCTTCTTATAAATAGTTTTTTTTTCTTCTCTCTATTCATAGTGAACACAATGCAGAAACATTATGAAGCTGATGGACATATTGTACGTTCAGGTACGCGTATACGTGAAAGTGTACGTTGTTTACCGAGAGGGCATTTTCAACAAATCCGAGAAATGTTCGATACACAATCGTATTCAATGAAAAATCTATCGGCGATTCACGAACGACGAGAAAAACTTAAGCCATATCCATCACATGTTTTACTTAAATTACCTGTGGCTGACGATGAAAAATTACAACATTCACCAATTATGGATGATATCGTTGTCACGGAAAACGATAGATCTATGGAAGAACATTATCAAATACTTCGCGCTAAATGTATGAATCCAAAGATTCAAAATTCTTCAAAACGAGACGAGAAATCATTGAAATGTAAGTTATCAACGCCAATTGAACAACAGTTTCGTATAGGTAAAAAAACAAATGCAATCATCTGATTGAATGTCAGAGACCTGTTTTATCTCTATTCATAAATCATCAGAGATCAATGAGAAATAAAAAGGAATAGTAAAAAGAAGAAAAAACAACAACAGACTGTATTGAAGGTCGATTTTTCTCTCTTCGTTTTGTTTGAAATTCGAGTACTTAGAATGATCATCAACATCGAAAAAAAAACCGAAGAAAGATGAAAAAGAATAAACATTCGAATGTTTCGAGATAATAGTAAAAAAAAATGACGAAGAAAATGGCAAAAAGGCCATGAGTCGAAACTGGTTGGTAAGCAATATCGATATTTCATTAGTCATCCTTTCGCCTCCACACATTTCAACTGATCCGTTGCATTTCTTCTCCTTTTTTTCTCGAATTTTTATTGAGTAACACATGCATGTGAGCAAGTCATAAATGTCTATCTCTTATTTTAGACACATCACCATATACAACATCATTGCCTCCACAACACACATCTTCAATCGACTTTGAAAAATCCATTTTAACATCTGATCAACATCGTCGTCAACTAGCTATGGCTGCGGCTGTCAACTATGCTGATAGTTATGAATCCTCGTCAACATCGAATCATTTGAATCGTATGGGCAGTACGCGTCAGTATGTTTCGAATTTACAACGTACACTAGCTGTTCATGCTAAACCGGTTCTTGTTAAAACAACTTGTAATGTTGTAAAACATAATCCTACAATAGCGTACGATAACGATAATAAATTATTTCAATCATCTCGAAGTCTTCATTCAACAACGTCACTTTCATCGACTGGCTATGATTCAAATTCATCGCCATCTATAATATCAAAGCGAAATTCCCTAGTAACAGATCGTAGTAATGATCATTCATTGTCCAATGATGAACATCAAGCATTGAAACCTTGGGTAAACAATTTTCTTGTTATTTTTGACTTTTTATTTGCTATTTCTAATAGGCTTTATACGAATCTGGCATCGATACTCCAGTAACAAATGCGAATTCCTATTCAAGTGATGAAGTTTTCGATAATGCATCGGTGATTAGTCGTTCACGTATTAAAATAGATTATTCGCCTACGTCAACTTTTCAATGTCACCCAATATCGATTATTCATCATACAACAACGCATAAACCATCTACACTTGATTCTCCTTCAATTTCATCGAATTCATCTTCAGTATCATCAAAATTTATTGTTCAAACAACTTCATTTCCTGATAGTGCAAACAATGATAGGAAAACGCAATCTATTGATCGTCGAGAAACACTTTCTTTAAGACGAAAACAAAAATTAGATTCAACAAGTTCAACCGGTTTTCCAACTCAACAACGATTATCTGCGAATGCTCCGATTGTCGTACAAAAGTCAAACAATGACCGAGAAGAAAATCCGCTGCCAACCGTTGAAAATCCTTTATTTCACCAATTGCCACCAAGAAAACCACCGCGAACATTTCAACAAGAACAACGATTCAATTATGCATCGAAAATCATCGATCAAAAAGTGCCTTCGTCGTCGTCGTCATCATCGTCATCAACAAGAGATTCGCCTACGTTTGATCTCGGTAATTTTTGACTATTTGTTTTTCAATATGTAGATAAAATACATATGCATATATATATTTTTTATTCAATTCCAAAAATATAAAATTAGATCAGCGCTTCACTTCAACTATGAAGTTCATAGGTGATAGACTGGGTGTTTTTTTGTGTAATATTCAATGAATATTCATTTAAGAGAAAATCCGAACCTATCGGAACGCCTCTGCACACTGATAGTAGTAAATGTGCTCTGAGATGAGATACTAAATCCAATCATGATACATATGATATTCATAAGGTCAAACCATTGACTTTATCTGCAAGCACTTACTCAATGAATAAGAAAGTCCGTCGATTCCAACTTTATTGGACCTGAACCTGATTATTTTTCATTGTATTCTCCAAGAAGATTTTACATTTTTGCTGCTAAATAAATTAAAATACTAATTTTTGTTTGCTTTAGGTGCTCGTTCGATTAGTTGTATGGATTTAACTGCAGGCGTCTCAAGTGCTTTACTATCAAGTGGTCTCTTACCATTAGATAAAGACCATACTGATAGTGAATGTAATTCAAATATTTTATTTAATAATACAAAACAACTTGGTTACGATGAAAATATTTATGAAGAATTAAAAACACCGATAGCAACATTTGATAGAGATGATGTTCAACAATTCGTTTTTGATAGTAATAAAACACAAACGCGGAATGGAACATTACATGATGTTAATTTTCGTACGCCATCAAAGAAAACGAAAGTCAATAATCACGTGACGCACGGCAAATCTGTCATGAAGAAAGGTGTTAGCGAACCAAATCTTGCTAAAACTAAATCATCATCGTCATCATCAACATTTTTTTCACCACGGGGTCTTATCAATCGTTTCAAACGTATGCTGCCATTGTCGTCTTCAAAACAATCATTAAACGAAAAATCAATCAATGATATACACGGTGCGAATATTGATAGTGACGATTCAACGAGTATATCATCAGAAAATAATGATGATATTCGAACATCAAGACTGGATCATGTTAGTCGAGTCAAAAATGTATATGATTCCTTAGGTATGTATTTTAACTTTAACTTTCATCCTTTTCAATCGAAATTCAGCATTAAAATCTTGCTTGACACGGAAATATCACTCCTCGTCTAACTGTTTGATTTGACAGCATTGACTAAAAATTTCTGTTCGTAGTTTGATGAATAAAATAAATTCGTTTTAGGAACTGGGAATCACATGAAAAGTCTCTTCACTGATCCACATCATGTAACACCGCAACGTCAATTATCCAGTCTATATGATTATGTCGTTCATATTTTACCCGAACAAGAAATCGGTTATTTCGCCAACGGTAATGGTTGTCTTTCATCTTTGAATTTGAATGTAAATCCTCAAATTACCACAGTTACATCGGTTCGTTTTAAATATCCATCAGATGTCAATGATGAATCATCATTGAAATATTTTTGTTTTCCTGATCAACACGATTCAAATAACAATCGCAATATCAGTTCGTTTTTATCACCCATGAAATCAAAATCAGAATATTTTCGTTTTACATTAACGGATATGCGCGGAATTCGTCAGCATGGTTATTGTTCGCGTTTCGTACATAAAGGTATTTTAAATGCATTATGTATTATATCTCCATATGATATGATCGATATATATGAGAAAATTCTTTCAACAGCAACACAATTATTCATTTCGTATAAAGACGAAGATGCAAAATTATTCCTAAAAGAAATCTATCCACATCGTTTACCGAGTTGCGGTGATACGATACATATACAAACATCAACAGTTGGATTATTTTCATTGAAATGTGAATATGATCGTCGAAAACAATTAATTGATTCAGTTACTTTGCTGAGTTTATCTACAGGTATGAAGGAGTATTGAATAGTTGAAGTTACGAGGTTGAGTACAAAAACGGAATCAGTTTGAGAAATGTTTTCATCTCTAGAGAATAATGTTTGCTTTACTCGATAGATTATGTGGAAATAAGAAAAAGTCTGAAAGAGTTGATGACGAAGAATTTTGACCATTTGCCGATTAATAGGTACTATACTTGTTATTTGATTATTCTGAAAGTTTGAGCTAAAATTAACATGCCTTTCTCGAAGACATTCAACTACTGCCTTCTTTCGTCGTAAATTATTTTGTGATTTTTGTTTTCTTTGGGTATCGATTGTTTTTCGAAAAGGGCATGCATAGAATAACCATAAAACCTATTCATAACACCCAAAATGTAAAATATGACTAAATTGAAATTAAGCTTAACCTCGTACATAAAACATACATCAACTTGCGGAGAGTTGCTGTCTGTTCCATAAAACGACGTAGAATATTGTTTTTTAAATTCCTTATTATTGCCTCCGTCGAGATCAGAATTGAGATTTGCAAGTTGCAGAAAACCTATTCATAAATTTTCATCTTATTTCACAAAAAGTATTATTTTTGATATGTTCCATGAACTTTTCTATTTAGATACAATCATAAAAATATTCTCATCGATTCTCTACGAACAAAAACTCATATTTATTAGTAATGAGCTCGGTACATTAACACGTTTAATCAATACATTTATTTGTCTACTATATCCATTTTCATGGCCACATACTTATATACCTGTATTACCAGCATTAATGCTCGATATCATTCAAGCACCAACACCATATATAATCGGTATTTTACGTTCCTGTGAAAGTTATCTATCACGAAATGATGAATTTCTCTCACAAGATAATTCCGATATACTTATTGTTGATATTGATCATGATCGTATACGTTCATTAAATGATTATTTATCAAATGAATCCTATCGTGGATCAGCTGAAAATGTAAATCGTCATTTTTTACAATTTCAAATTCTTCCGAAAATTTTCAAAATTGAATTAAAACAAGAAATATCATTGTTGAGAAAAAATAAATTAAATTTATCCATGGATGATTGCCGGCAACGTTTACAAAATTTATTTATGTCAATTTTTGTTCAATCATGTTACAATTATAAGAATTATTTAAATGCAACATTTGATATTGATCTTTTTGTTCAATCGAAACAACATACAATTGAATTATTTTTAGAATGGTTCACCCGAACACAAATGTTTGAATTATTCATTCGAGAAAAATTAGATTCCAATCTAAAGAATTCCTTTGCTATTACATTTGATTCAGCTTGTGAAAAGTATCGTCGAACATTAAAGAAACAAATACCACAACGTATTACAGTCAAGTCAGTTAAACGAAAAGCGGCCATAAGAGCGAATAAACAGGACAATCGAATTTAAATGAGAAAAACGAAAACATTATTTCATAAGCTATTTAGTCAGATAAAGTCTTTTCTTTTTCTTTTTTCTTGTACAAATTGCTTTGGTCTTTTTTTTTCTTTTTAAATTTCTATTATATATATATATATAACAGTCATTATTTGAAATATTGAATAAGACGCATTATGCGCTTGTATGTTTACTTGTGTTCTTTCTTTTTTTCTAAATAACATAAATACAAAATGTTGCTATCAGTTTCCTAACTTTGAGCGCTAATCCTCCACATAGTACCATTTTTGTATACGTTATCATATTAATGAAAAATGTCGCCTGATTGAAAACGTTAACAGCTTTATTTACGACTTCAGTCTCGTTCGTATGATAGCTTAGTTTCTCTTTTCATAAAAAAAATACACCCTCTGAATGATTCTACTTTTGTCATGTACTCACAAAAGACAACAGCTTGAAGTTTAGATATGTAAGTGGTTGGTTTTCTTAAATGGAATATTGTGTCTTTAATTTTATGGGGAAATAGAGGCACCATGAATGCTTTGGTTTGTTAGCATATTCATCTGTACTCATCAGGACGGGCTTCTGGTAGCTTGGATAAATTGAATAAAATCTCTATTTTGCTTTTGGATTTTTCAATCTATTTTCCAAATCTATATGCGCCACATAGAGACATGATGTAAAGAAGAATGATGAAATTAGTTGACAACAATTTTCTAATATTTTTCATTGGTACTAACTTGAATTGTTTGACCATTGTTTTCTATAAATTCAAGAGATTGTAAATTTCGTGATTCATGAAATTATGTTACAATTGACATGAGAATTTAGTTGAGATTGGAATAATAGATTTAATTAATGATAGAAAAAATAGACACAAAAGAGAGCGAAGAAAAGAAAAGGAAAAAGAATTTCCAGACTCAAAATGCAAATAAAGTTATATGAACGATATGGAAACTTTTTCTATGAGTTAGATTTAACAAAATATTTTCTAATTGATCATAATTTGGATTTCTTTTTCAAATTGGTGACCAAAACCAAAAAGGAATTTTCTTTCTTATTGTTCATTTGCCTCAAAGCGGTCTCATATCGCTCGTATGAGTCATATAGTAATTGATGTATCTTGTTGAATTGATACTTTAATATTAAACTGGAATAAAATACTTCGTTGATTGTGATATTTATGCTAGATCATCAAATAAATATTTACTTATCCTAGTTACATTTTAAAAATTTAGTAGAACCTATTAAAATCTAATTTTTTTGTTATCATTTCTTTATTAATTTGAGTTTTAATAATCGATATTCGTCACTATGAAACAGGTAATGATTAGACATAAATTATGCAGTTTCTGTTATATTAACTTATTTACTTTGTTTTTAACGAAAAGCGATTGTTGATAATAATACATCAAACGGACTAATATAAGAAACTTCTTTATTAATTTCATTAAAAATTTAAAAAAAACATTTACTTTCCTTCCATACCATTTGTCGCTTTTCCCTCTTCAATTAGTAAAAATAGACACAATCAGTGTTCCCAGGTCGCACCGTCTGGCCTGGAAACGGTCGGTTTCGGGTAGTTTCGTTGATTTTGTGGAAGCAGTATTCCGATTGGAAAATTTTCGCATTTTTTCCGGTGATTTTTCGATCAATTCCTGCCGGAAAGCACCGTAACTTGGCAGGAATTCTCCGGAAAAGTCCGACCGTATTTTTGCCCGGAATACTGCTTCCATGTTCCAGCGATTTCCTGTGTTTTCCTGCAGGATATGTTGACTTTCCCGCATAGTCCCTGGAGTATCCTACAGGATCCGGTGGCCGGAATGTTCGATCTGGGCACACCCACACCCTCAAGATGTGAGACCGCTTTGAGGTAAATGAACAATAAGAAAGAAAATTCCTTTTTGGTTTTGGTCACCAATTTGAAAAAAAAATCTAAATTATGATCAATTAGAAAATATTTTGTTAAATCTAACTCATAGAAAAAGTTTCCATATCGTTCATATAACTTTATTTGCATTTTGAGTCTGGAAATTCTTTTTCCTTTTCTTTTCTTCGCTCTCTTTTGTGTCTATTTTTTCTATCATTAATTAAATCTATTATTCCAATCTCAACTAAATTCTCATGTCAATTGTAACATATATACTATTTAATACATTAATTTCATAATGGTTAAAATTATATACTTATTTTGTGAGCTGATCGATTAGTGCAGTTAGATTTAATTCTTAGTATGAGAATAAATTGAATATCAAAAGTTTTCAATAAATGAAAAGAAATCTTTATTATATTCTCTAATTCATTCTATACATTCGAAGTTATTTTTATGCTTATTCTTATTATTAGAATCAGTAATTTCAATGCAGTGGTAAATATAATTTTAAAAGATTTGGTAACATTTTCAAGTTTATTCGTAATAACTGATGTGGAAATAAATGTCACATAGGAGTATCTCGTAAAATCTACAGAGAAAGACCAGTTTAATTTGGTAAACATGATAGTCAAAGTAAAGTGTCATAAAAGTCAATCTAACTCATGAAACTATAATGATAAGTTCGTAAAGTTGACACTAGTAGAAAGAGAAATGAAGTACGTAACGGATTCCGATTCACGTGGCCTTAAAATATGACTCGAGTGCTTGAAATGATAAATTGAATTCAAAGTAGAGAGTCGAACGCTTCGAGACATAAGCAATTCTGCAGACCTAGTAAGTCAATAGTTTATAATAGATATTAGACCCAAATAGATTTCGAGATATTTTTTTTTTACTTATGCAACTTAACTTTCAAGACCTATGAACTCGTAGTTAAGGGAATATAACATTTTTCAAGTTTCCATAAAGTATTTGAAACAGACGAAAATATTTCAACTTGATCCTGTGCGAGTATAACTAGATTTAATTGATTAATTAAATTTATTCTTAATTAGAATTCATTATTCAAGTCACCGAGATGTCTTCATTTCTTTTAGGCATTATTTTACAGTAAATATTTGTATCCTGAAGAAGTTGTAGAATTAAAGCATGAATAGATTTTGTTGTTATTGTTGTTGACAGATCGATCAACATTATTGAGTAAGCAATATAGTAATGAAGTTCATCGAAGGCACTCAGCTGAATTTCGTTGACGCTGATAGAATTGCGCAGTATGAATTTGGCAATTAAAAAAAACTGCGCAATTGATTCTACGTAACAGTGAAAATGTATGAGGTGCAATTAGTACGTACTACTTTTTTAAGGCTGCGTATGACGCAAATTGTTATATTTAGTCATATAGGAATGATTTACCTACAATTGCGCCTACCACTCGTTTTTTCTTTTAAGTGACATCATTGAAAGGAACGAAATTATGTATAAATAGTCAAAACTATTATCAAAGCAATACAAGCTTCAAACTCATATTTATCTGCTCATAGTGTTCGTCAACCATGAAAAAACAATGCATTAAGTTAATTATTCTTCTCGCATTAGTCTTATGTGCTAAATCAGACGATGCACAGGGGAATTCGAACTTGAGCACTTTGATTCTTGATCACATTTGTCCATTAATAAAATGTATTGCTCAAAATTGTGCAAATGGCTTTATTGTGAATAAATATGGCTGCACAACATGTGAATGTAATCCATGTAAATTCGGGCAACCTCTCTTTCAATATCCCTGTGGAAAAGGTCAAGGTAAATGTGCAGCAAATAAAGGTCTGTGTAAAGTGAGCCAATTTGATTATGCATACTGTTGCCCTAATGAGCATGCTGGCTGCTGTCCACCTGTGCCAAATCTTATCAATTTCTTGTGCCCAATGCCCAATTGCAAGAATGATACTCAATGTGGAGTGGGACAAAAATGTTGTCGACCATGTTCAAGATGCATCAATGCTACTCTTACATAAACTTATCTACAAACAATTTTTTTTTCTACATTGTTCATTGTAGATCATTTTAATCATCAAGTAGAGAAAAATTCTTTGAATCTCGTCATTTATTGTAGGAAAAAAATGAAGGCATATCTAGCATTGAATCGTAACGATCCGAGATACACTATACAGAGTAGTATAAAACTCATTAGATAGTCTTTGATTATGAATAGTTTTTGATTGAAAATTAAGAGAGCAGCGACTTTCACCGTTTGAAATAGACTATATTACTGTATAATTAGAATAATTCCTTGCAGTTCATTGCTTTCATATGCATAAATTCGTCGGTGTGTATTGTGGTCTCAACGATGATTGATTACAGATAATAAGGAAACTCCTTACCTCTTATATTCATCGTCAGAGCTGAATGCTGATATCGACTGCTACTGAAACATTATAATACTGAGGGATTTTATGATGTTAATGAAATGTATAAATACAAGATACACCATCAGTTAATATGAAAACTACGAATAAATCAGCCTTCATTTCACTCTTCGTCAGTCAGATGTCTCAATCTGGATATACAGTATTCAACTACAGTTTGAAGAGGCACGTGTATTACATATAAACGGGTTGCAATCAATTTTTTATTTGAAAGTATATTTATCCAGATGAGTGTCAGATTCAAATAGATCTTGATTTGTACTGTTGAGGAAGACTTTCGAATCAAAATTTAAGTTTTTCATTTGACAACGATTGCAATGCTATTTTTCTTGCAACATTTTCTATGAATCAAGTTTAAAAGAAGAACACCATAGAAAGGTACTAAAGCTATGAAAGATATGATGATTGGAATTACTGTCGTTTGATTGTTTTCAGGTTCAGGAAGTGTATAGAGAAGAACCAAGAAAGCAATGCCGATATTTTGAATACCTAGCCAAGAAAAGAAATTAGATCAGTGAACAAAATAGGATTCATATGGTAGCATGGTAATGGAAAGTCTATCAAAAAAATTAGTGAATAGAGTATATACTTTTGTACAACTTTCATATAAAATGAGATCACTTTTAGGGAAAATCTTGTGACCTATCTGAAGGTTTGCACGAAGAATGTTAAAAATTGAATTGTTTTGTTGAAGAACAGAAATCATTAAATCATACATAGTCGAAGAAATTAATCGGTCCCCATGTCATCAAAATCGCGTCACTTTTGGCGATTAATCGCAAAATTGAAGAAAATCGCCAATTAATCGCGATTTCACGGGGAAAATCGATGATTCATTGCGATTAATCGCCGATTTCTCAATTATCAAAAGAAATCGCCGATTAATCGCCGATTAATCGCCGACTACGCCGATTTTTGCGATTAATCGCAATTTAAAAAAAGCAGAAAATATGCGTACATAAAGGGAAATTTATGTTCTTCTTATTTTTTGAGGACACATATATTAGTTTCTGTTCTTTTTCATAAACATTTCAAGAATTTTAATAGTAAAGTTTATGTGAGAAAAAAAAGTCGGATTGAATTTTAACTGGGTAATTTGCTGTATCCAATAACAACATGGACACATATTCATTGTTCTTCTCGTGCATCAGTGTTCATAATAGGAATCTGAAATAGAATGTATAAATACACTACGATAGTTTTGAGCATCATGGTTTCGTACACTTTGCTTCGAAGATCAAAGTGTACAAAGTGTATAAGACAAATTTAAACTACAACAAAGCCATTTTAAGGTGATTCTAGCGTTTGCTTTTCTTTTATTGTTTTCTTCAATAATAATTTCAGTCCGCTTTACACTCATATGAAATAATAAATAAGCTATAACGACAAAGTACAAATGCAATGGCATGTAATCTACTTGATGTATGAGTATGATACTTGTAGCGACTTTTTCGAATAAACTATTATGTAGTATTGTTTTTGGTGAATGGTTTACAAAAACATCTCTCACACATGTTTTACTCTTTTATTAGGCGATGAGACATCAACTGTAAATGAGAAACCTGCTAAAAT